TACAGAGATCTCTCCAGAAACAGATAACCGAGACCTGAGGAGGGAGTTGGCCAGAGGGACAGTGGGGGACAATTAACCCCAGCAGAATGGTGTGTGGAAGTCTCAGGCTGGGAAGAAAATGATTTATGAATTTTCTGGGAAGTTTCAACATTACAAAGATGGAAATTCTCCTCAAGCCACTGAAAACCCAAACCAAAGCCCAGTCGAGCTTTTGTGAAGCTTGATGAGCTTCTCCTCAAATTCATATCAAAGGTAAAGGCCCCGAGTTAAATAAGACAGAGAGGGGAGGGAGGGCAGTTGCTTGACCAGTTATCAAGATGCACCGTGCAGCTGTAACGGTTTAGGCGGCACACCCAAGGGGAGGATGTTCCAAGGCACCCAGGGGATGCCTCACTTAATTTTTTGACTTTACAGTAGTGCAAAAGTACGTCTGTACAATCTTTCTGTTTTTCGCTTTCAGTGTAATTCAGGAAATTACAGAGGTATGTAATACTTTATGATAAAATAGGCTGTTGCATGATTTTGCCCAGCTACTGGCTAACGTAAGTGTTCTGAGCACATTTAGGGTACGCTAGGCTAAGTTCTTGTGCTTCACAAACAAAGTGTATTAAATGCATTTTCAACCTACATGGGACATACTCCCAATAAGTCCAGAAGCGTCTTATATAGAGTACTACAGTTTTTCCTGTCCCTATGTAGCTCTGCTGTGATAAACTTATAACTTAGGTCCAATAAGAGTTTCACAACAATGATTACAACATATTATAATAAAATTATTTAAAACTTATGAATCGTTTATTTCTGGGATTTTCCATTTAATATTTTCAGTCCAAAGTTGACCCTGGGTAATTAAAACCCCAGAAACTACAGTGTTAATACTAGGATGGATAATTAGACCAATGGATCAGGATCAGAAGCCTTGAAAGAGAGACTCACACATGTGTGGAGGCTGGGCCTGCTACAGAGGTGGAACTGCAGATCTGTGAGGGGAAGAACAGATTGTGCAAAATGTGTAGTTAGCA